CATCTCTCGTGCAAGCGGTATGTTCTTACTTCCTGATGATGTGTGATCTGTGGTTTCTAGTAAGGAGGTCTTCTCCCCCCTTCTCTGTCTCTCTGTCTCTGTCTCTCACGCTCTCTCTCTCTCTCTCTCTCTCTCTCTCTGTGTGCAGGTCTTGGGGCTTGAATTCAGTGCCTGGGTACTGTCCCTGAGCTTCTTCAAGGCTAGTGCGCTCCTTGTCTCTGTCTTGCTGCCCACTGTGGTGCAAAAAGTCCAGGTAGACTGGACTGGCCCTTCATCCAACTATCTCCAAATGCTAGAAATCACAAACAAGATACTTCTCACTCCTTTCCATGCTGTCACTCTTACCATCCAGGTCCATGATCTGGTCATAAACTGAAACCCAGAGTGAAGCATTTTGGTATGAAATGCATAATTTATATGTGTATTAGTTTTTCTTACAAGCCATTTTCAAAGAAAATAGGCCTCACTTAGATTTTTGCTATATGTAGAAAATGTCTAGAGTTACCAGCTAGAAATGTAGTCACAAGGGCAATTTCTTTTTTTTCTTCTTCTTCTTTTGTCAGTAGTGGGGCCTGAACTCTGGGCCTGGGTGCTGTCCCTGCGCTCTTCAGCTCAAGGCTAGCCACAGCGCCACTTCCTGCTTTTTCTGCTTATGTGGTACTGAGGAATTGAACCTAGGGTCTCATGCATGCAAGGCAAACACTCTACCACTGAGCCACCTTCCCAGCCCCACAAGGGCAATTTCTTTATTTTACTTTATAGCAGTCTCCGTTGCTGGAGGAGTCCTGGATGCCATAGCGAGGCAGTAGAGCTGCCTCATCTGCGTCTTTGGACACCTTGGTGCATCTGTTTCTGAGAGCAGTAGCCTACCAGTCCATTATTTTGGCCACATACACTGCTGAGGGGGAAAAGTTGGGAAGTTCAAGAACTTAAAAAACTTTTCAGCTCCATGTAGTCAGGAACATGATGCTGAAATTGACACCTGATTCTTAGTAAATGGCTGGCTGTGAGTGTGATTCGTACCATCACCCTGGGTTGGGTGGGAGGATTGGTGCTGCTATTTCCCATGCTGTGCAACTGGTTCTCCTACCAGTTTCCAGACTGAACGCTGCTGTGCACTCTCCTCACAGATTGGGGCAGTAGGCTGAGAATGGATTCCATTAACCCTGTCCCATGCCTACCCCAGGCAACATGGTTCTCAGGGCCTGGGGATGGAGACTGGCCTGTAGTATTAGGTCAGTGGCTCAAGGAATCCCAAAAAACTACAAGGTGTGTAGTTTTCTCTCTTTGCTTCATGTGCTGGCATGATTTAAGTTGCATGAAAAATGGAATTTACTGAGAGTATGATGGTATCTTTTACTGGGAGTCTTGCTGAACCTGTTTGCTTTTATCCTGCTTTTCTCTGGGTGTGGTACAGTTTGGAGACAGCTAAGTGTCTATGTTCTTTCTGTTTTGCTGGCCTTGGTGACATTTTCTGACACAAAAATTAAGACATGGGATAACTGACTTCTAACATTGGCTTTTCCTGTTTATTAATTAAACTAAAGGTTTATGATTGATTTTTATAACGAGGTCCTATTTTTTTTTTTTTTTTGTCAGTCATGGGACTTGAACTCTGGGCTTGGGTGCCGTCCCTCAGGTCGTCAGCTCAAGGCGAGCACTCTACCGCTTGAGCCACAGTGCCACTTGCGGTTTTCTGGTGGTTTATTGGAGATAAGAGTCTCGTGGACTTTCCTTGCCCAGGCTGGCTTTGAACTGCAATCCTCAGATCTCAGCCTCCTCAGTAACTAGGATTACAAGAGTGAGCCACCGGTATCCGGCTGAGGTCCTATTTTTTAATGAGTTTCTTTTTTCTTTCTTTTTTTGGTCGGTCGTAGGGGCTTGAACTCTGGGGCCTGGGCACTATCCCTCAGGTCTTCAGCTCAAGGCGAGCGCTCTACCACTTGAGCCACAGCGCCACTTCCGGTTTTTGAGTGGTTTGTTGAAGATAAGAGTCTCACGGACTTTCCTGGCCACGCTGGCTTTGAACCGAGATCCTCAGATCTCAGCCTCCTGAGTAGCTAGGATTACAGGCGTGAGCCACCGGTGCCAGGCAGTGAGTTTCTTTTATTTGGAAACAACCAGTGTTGATAAACCAGGGACTTCCTGAAATCTTGTAAAGCCACTTACATGGGTCAGGATCCTGCCCAACTGTTGCTGTTACTGCCATTGTCACATTCCCTATGACTTAATCTGTGGACACAGATTAATTATTTTTGGAAGCTGGTATTCAGTACTTGACCTTCAACTCCATTTGATAGAATTGGGGCTCAGCTCTAGGTTGTAGGTTTTAAACAGACCAACTGCTGGCTCCCATAGGAGGCCCTAATGGACCTAGGGCATCTCTGGTCCTGGCCCAGATGCTGAGCCCTGCTGTCCTTCCCTGAGCAGTTTCCCCTCCCCCTGTCTTCTTCCTCATCCTGGGAAGTGGCTGGATCCCAGACCATTTGGGGTGGGCCCAGTCTGAATGCCTGGTATAAGGACCTGGAGTTGTTGGTGAGAGAAAACCTTTTTCCAACTAGCCTTGTGGCTGGATTGACATCCTATTATGTAAACATTCTGAGCAATGCTTTCCTGGGGGGCCTAATGCAAGCTTTCTGTCATTTGCTGTAATGACCTAATGAAGCAATCTTACTCTTGGCACTGGACCTGTAAAGGATTATGGAACCTGAGTATGACATGGGCACTGAGGCCTGCTCTGATCTTTACCGAGGCTTGGATCTGGACACTTCCCAAGTCCCAGCATTTGATTAAGACTTAGCTTGGCCTGTAGAATGGAACTTGGAACTTACTTCTGACAGCAGGGATGGTGCCAGCAAGACCCAGGTAAAGAGCATGGGGCTTCACATGCCTCTGATCACAGTTCATCCAGCATAAACCTGGAACAGTGTGGGTAAAAAGGAGACATAATCACTTATCAGATGAGAGCTAAGGCTTTTTCAGAAATGGATAAAGCGGTATGGATCAGAAAGTCATTTTTTTTCTTTTGTGCAAGTACTGGGACTTGAACTAAGGGTCTTCTTGTGCTCTAACTTGGCTTTTTTGCTCAAGTCTAGCACTCTACTACTAAAGTCACACCTCTATTTCTGCTTTCTGGTGGCTAATTGGAGATGAGTCTCATGGACTTTGCTCTCCAGGCTGACTTTGAACCATAATCCTCAAATCTCAGTCTCCTGAATAGCTAGGACTATAGGTATGAGCCACGGATTAAATGTTTTGATTAAGTGTAGTTTAGTTGAAGTGACAGTTAAAGTTCAAGCAGAATCCTTCTTCAGTGGGGCAGTTTAGTTTAGAACAGCCACCTGCTCATGATATGGATGTGTGCTGGTAGTCCTCTCAGTATTCCTGGTTTCTTTTTTTTGTTTTGTTTTGTTTTGTTTTTTGTTTTTTTCTGAGTCGTGGGTCTTGAACTCTGGGTCTGGGCACTGTCCCTCAGCTCTTCAACTCAAGGCTAGCACTCTACCACTTGAGCCACTGCACCACTTCCGGTTTTCTGGTGGTTTATTGGAGATAAGTGTCTCATGGACATTCTTGCCCGGGCTGGCTTTGAACCATGATCCTCAGATCTCAGCCTCCTGAGTAGCTAGGATGACAGGTGTGAGCCACGGATGCCCCGAAATATTCATGGTTTCTTAACATCCATATAGTTGCTGTCATCTTGGGAAAGGTAGAACAAGGTTTGTGTGTGTGTGTGTGTGTGTGTGGCACGCAAACGCATACATGCATGTGCACGGGAGTGGGGGAGGGGGGACAGGGTAGGGTGGGGAGAGGGCTTGAACTCAGGGCCTGGGCACTATCCCTGAGCCTCTTTTCCTCAAGGCTAGCACTCTACCATTTGAGTCACAGCACCACTTTTGGCTTTTCTGTTTACGTGGTACTGAGGAATCAAACCCAGGGCTTCATGCATGTTAGGCAAGCACTCTCCCACTAGTCATATTCCCAGCCCCAATGTTTTTAATATGTATGTTGTGAGGTGGGGGACATAAGTAGTGGGGTGAAAGCTTTGCACAGTTACTGTTTCATTTCTAGCATCTTCTGCACACACAGCACCACAGTCATAAAGGTAGGCTGTGTGGACCTTTCACAGGCTCTGTCTTTTTAAGTGGCCTCAGACATTTCTTTCCCAATGAGAGAATACTAGTCCACCATCAGCCACTTTTACCTCCATATCTCACTTAGCTGGTGCCTTGAGCAGACACTTGTGTAAGTAAAGAATTAAGAACAGTTGTGGACAATAGGGAGGTGTTTCCTGTGGATTAACAACATACTGTTGCACAAATGGGGGCCTTCTCATTTCATGTAGCCAGCTGTGGCTCACTAGAGAATGCTGATTTAGAAAATGTCAATGGTAGGTTAGGATGCTTACCAACCTCTTGGCCAGAACAGCTCTGTACTCTATTGCATTCCCATAAGATGTTTGTGAGGCCTGTGGTCATATATTTGTGGCCATTCTGATACCATCCAGGGGCTTCTCCACCCAGAAACATCCATCTCCAGTGTCCTCTTGAAAAAGTATAAGAATTGGTATAATTTCCTTTTTCCTGTTCTTAAAACAAAAACAGAAACAAAACTTAGTTGTTTTGCAAATATTCAGGGCAGGAAAATAATAACTGGCACAATGTAAGTTCCCCAGAACAGATTTCCCAAGAAGAATCAGGTAAGTGCTGGCAAATTCAACTGCCTGTGACACTGGCCAGGTCATTGGGTCCTAAGCTGACTAATACTGTCTGCTTGTTCTCAGGGGTATTGTGGCTTGCCATCAGCCATGTCAGTGCAGAGAAGAAAAAATAAACAAGTGCTAACCTGCTGAACAATGTAGCATGCAGGCCCTGGACACACACGTGCTATGGCTGGGCTTAGAGCTGAGGTCCACAGAGGGAGAGGGATTTGCATGCAACAGTCAGGACATATTGTTGAGTTCTCCTCCTGTATCACTAGCTGATTTGGTTTTGTTCTTCCAGGAGGAATCTGATGAGGGGGCGGGTCATGGACTGGGTCACCTGTCCATTCTTGCTGCCCGTGATGTTTAGCTGCATGGGCATCTTCGGCCTCCTCAAGCTTCTGCAGTGGATTCGCATGAAGGCCTACGTGCGGAACTCCGTGGTGGTGATTACAGGCGCTACCTCCGGGCTGGGGAAAGGTGGGTTGTAGGGGATGCCCTGCACAGGGCGGTGCAGGGGGGCAGGGGTGGACAGCTAGTTAGGCATGAGGAGATACTGGTGGTACAGGGACTATAAAACATTCAAAAAAAGATGCCACTGTTCTTGGTCCAGTTGGAAAAGCCCTTATGAAATAGTCAGTCCTCAGTGTCAGTTCCATGTTGAAAGAAGAATGAGGGGCTGGGAAGGTGGCTCAGTGGTTGAGTGCTTGCCTTGCATGCATAAGGCCTTGGGTTTAATTCTCCAGCACCATATAAGCAGAAAAAGCCAGAAGTGGCATTGTGGCTCAAGTGGTAGAGCACTAGCCTTGCTGAAGAGCTGAGGGATAGCGCCCAGGCCCAGAGTTCAGGCTCCACAACTGACCAAAAAAAAAAGAAGAAGAATGAGATATGAAAGCTCTTAGTTTTCAGATATGGACAACTAGCTTAACATGTTTTTAACCTCTTTGAGGACCAAATGAGGGATGCTTTTCTCTGGATTAAGCAGTACCCCTACCTCTTCCTGGGGCCTCGGCACATGGCCTGGATGCTTGCTGTCCCCATGCCTTCCCCCTCCTAGGGCTTGACAGGGGATAGGATTATTGGGGTCTCAGCTGCTCTTTAACCAGTCTTTAATTCTGTTCCCCCTCAGTGACACTTTGAGCTTTGAAGCCCAGGATGGTGTGCCGGGGATACAGTGGCATCCATCAAGTTCTGGCTCCCTTTTTTTCCTAGACGCTTACACAAATAAGTTGCATTGGCAGGACTAATGCAGACACATGGTATGGAGCCCCATCCTGTTTCCATCAGGCTGCACCCACCACACTGCTGCGCACTTTCAGGAAGAGGAAGACAAGCTCCCAGAACCTAACTTTCTGCTTCTACATATTGGTTGGTGGAAGCATGGCTAGCACCCCACTCTTAAGCATCTGCTCAGAGTGAGGCTCTGGGCCAAGTGCTAAACCCACAGAAGACACTTCGACAGGTCCCTTTCCTTGGTGAGGTTACAGTCTCCTGGAAAAAGGCCAGGTCTATCTCTTTATAAGGCCACTTCAGTTGTGGATGTTCTCAAGCAGGCCAGATAAAAGAGGCATCTCCCCCATATATGTGTTTACTTATATATGCCTTTGCATCAATGTTATACTTGCCTCTTGTGCCGATCATTTCTGGTATGTGAGCTCATTGCATTTCACAGCTGTAAGGCCTAGGCATGAATTGCCTAGGACTTCAGCAAAAAGCACAAAGCTAAGTGTCAAACCTGTGTTCTCTGACCCCAGAACTCAATCTTTTTTTGTGTGTATGTCAGTACTGGGGTTTGAACTCAGGGCCTGGGCACTGTCCCTTAGTTTTTTTGCTCAAGGCTAGAGCTCTGTCACTTGAGCCACAGCTCCACTTCCCCAGAACGCAGTTTTATGGCCTTATCTGAGGGGGACATTGTCCTGCAGTGGTGTGGGACGTAGGGACAGCATTCTAGATGGGTGCAGATGTAGCTCTTTGGAACACAAAGGAGCAGACAGGGTCGTCTCTAGGGTCTTAAGAGGCCTGCAGTTAGCCAGGGAAGGCTTTAGCGTATGGAGTCATTTGTACAGCTTGAGGTCTCTGATGGTGAACTTAGTGTCTGCCATTGGATCCAGATCCTTGCAGCGACAGCTGCCTCTCCAGGCCTTTTGC